GTGGAGTTCCAGCTGTTTTTGTGTTTATTAAAAGTCAGCAGCTACAAAAACTGTAGCTGCTGATTTTTTACAAACACACGCCTACCTGTCCCAGGGTCCAGCGATGTTCTCACCTGTGCTGTTCCTTCTCCCCTTCTCTCCTCCACAGTGCCGACATCTCAACTGTGGGCACCAGGCTTCACAGCCCACTGCGCATGCGCAAGTCACGCTGTGCCTCCTAATTGGTCCAGCAGTCTTCTGGGACCTGTGAAAGTTCCCAGGAGACTGCTGGAGGGAGGAGGGGGGCCGAACTTCTGGCTCACTTTGCCGAACTGAGCCGGAAGTGGGAGCGGATACCTGTCAGAAACAGGTATCTGCTCCCCGCTCCCCTCCAAAAGGTGCCAAATATGGCAGTGGAGGGGGGAGGAGGCAAATAAGCGGAGCTTCCACTTTTGAGAGGTGGAACATGTAAGGGCTCATGTACACGAGGCATTTGGAAAACTGTTCTAAACAATGGAAACTGACTGGAAAACGTAGGTGAAAAAACGTCAGTTTAGCCACGTTTGCATACCGCGTTTATGAGCGCTTATGTGCGTTTATGCGTTTAGAAGTGTTTTTAAAAGATAACCTCAGGAGACCTTTCCAAATGCCCTAAAAAATAGTAAATTATTAACTATTTCAGACATTTTGAGAGGAATAGAGAGAGATGAAGCAGAGAGAGCAGTATGTGTTGAGATTACCTGTCTTTTCTGGTTGTATTCACTATGGATCCCATCATAATGCGGCACATTCTACCATTTTTTCCTCCACGCAAAACCTGGAACTGACTGCGCTGGTGTACTGGGTCCATTTGAATACATGGAAAATGCTTTGCATGCATTTCTGGTGATGAAAAAAGGCTCTAGACAGCATCTGGACATGGAACAATTAAAAACGCTTCTAAACTAGGTTAACCACGTTTACATGTGTTTACAAGCATTTGGCATTTGAAACGCCGGTAAACTCTACTCCTGAACGGAAGTTTGGTGCATTTAAAAAGAATGTAAACCCAACTGCCTGTAAACGACATAGTGTACATGGACACATAGAAAAACATTAGGGAGAGTTCAGGGGCTGCTGAAAAAAACCGCTGAACAGCTCCTGAACGTCAGTTTAAGAGCTGCAGTGTACATGAACCCTTACGTGGTCTCAGAGGTGAACTTATCCTTTAAAAAACCAAATAGGTATTTATTCTGTCATCCTTTCCTCATCTCTGATTGAAATGCAACTTTTGGGTAAAGTTTAATTCTAGTCAAGTCACCATATATAAGCTTCTAAAATGTCAAACATTACAAATATTTCTGCCCACATATAAGGGAAATGTTGGGATCACTTTAGCTTTTTACAGTTTGCCGATGAAAGGTTTATCCCAGCTGTAGCTGATCAGGAATTACCATTCTTCTGTTCTTCCTCATCAGAAATGAGAGAAAAGGAAAATAAACGCAAATAAATTCACACGTCGTAATTTGCATAGAGAGGAAGCGCAGCACTAGTCCATCAACAGGAAACCATTCCTCTTATCTCAACAGACTGGCATATCATAGACTTGTATGACATGTGCAAGTAGGTCACGGTGATGATCGCTTGTGATCATAATAACAGATTGTCTTTCTGCACACAGAAGGGAAGAGACATTTTAGAAAGTGCCTAATGTGCAGGAATTGGATCGGGAACATAGGCGCTGCTTTATACGTTGCCTGCAGGCATATGCATTTGTATGTATGAGAGTTTTGCTCAAACAGTTCAGCTAAAAAAAAAAAGGGTTATATGTAACATTTTTGTTACAAATGTCAGCATTTGGGTTATTCTGCATGGTAAAGATCCAGTTTTGCTTTCAGGGTAACAGAAACACTGACTTCTATTCTATTCATGGTTCTTTTGACATAATACATGTGAAAACATGATTCTATACTGGAATATCACAGGCCAGTTCTAAACTGTTTTTCTGTATTGTTACATCTAATAGAAAGCTCAGTAGCAGTGGTTAAGTAAACCCCAACTACATTATATTTAGTTGCTAAAGCACTGTATCATAGTCAACTGACATATTTTTAAGTTAAAATGACTGTAAAGCCTAATTTGTTTAAATGAAAATAGAAAAGAGAGCTTTTTAAACAATGTGTCACTATCATGCATGGGCCAGGTGTCTTTTCCCCCAAAAAACACTACCAGTAGCATCTACATTTAAATATAGACCAGCATTATCTACAGCAGCCAAACCCAGTAGGAACCACATCCAGAATGGGCCCTGCAGCTGTTTATATTGGGACATGACCTGCTACAAAACGTCTTACTACCTTCCCTCTGCAGTGGCTCACACAGACACTGTAATCAACAGCCTGGCAGCTCACACCAACAATCCCCTACCATCTTCCTCCCATCCAATATCTGGCCAGGGGGACTGATGCCAACATCTGGAGCTAAAACTGACAGCTCCTCTTGGAGGCACCGCTGTCTACAAAGTAACAACCCCCTTTCCATCCCCATACCTGAAACAACTGCTCCTTCCTACCATCCCCTCATCCCCCCCCACCACCACTTTCCTACCACCCAGGTGGTCCCCATCCTCCTACCCCCATTCCATCTCAGCAAACTAACCCTCACCACTGTGCCTGATCTCCTCCCTTCCACTCTCACCACCTCTTTTGCCTACTTCCACTACACTCACCATTGCACCAACATCCCTCTATGTGCTGGCTGCTGCTGTCACAGTGCTCGCCATTATGTACCTTACTGTATTCAGCACACTACCCAAGATCCCAAGCTTCATCCCAGCCCTCTCTGAATAGTTGCCCTTCTCCCACTCCACCCTCCTATGTCATTTAGTGGGAACAAAACTTGGCAACTGGGATAGACTTGGCGGACTGGAACAGAACCTGGCTCTCTATAGCTAAATGATAATTTAACACAGCGACTTTGAAGGCGACATATAAGGTGCTCCTGTGTTATTGGGTCCCTGCCTGTATTGCTGATGCAAATCCATCCTATAGTGACCGTTGTTTCCGAGGGTTGTAGCCATTGGGGTGATGTTTTGCACACATGGTGGACGTGCCATAGATTAACTGGTTTTTGGTCCTTTGTATTTGGCCTCCTATTTACCTTGTTCCACCTGCCCATATGTAGGGAAGCCAAGTTTGTCTTATTACACTGCCCCATTCCAGGTCTGTTTGCTCATCAGTGAAAGCTCGCTTCCTACCTTTTTCTATCAGCTAAAAGAATGATTGCCCAAGCCTGGAAAAAAACGTCAGTTCCCTTCCAGGGTGGTTGAGACCGTATAACCAATGCATTCATTCATAGAAGAAGATTATTTTCATCATATTCCTTATGTTAAACCGATTCATTTTCGAAATTTGTTTCATATCTTGGCCATTTGTTATGTATATTCGTTAGTCCAGGTGGGTTCGAAAAATTTTGCAGCTTTTCCAGAAGATTGCTACATATTTCAATAATGATTAGAACCAGAAGGATTCAATATATTCAGCCACTAGTACAACCCACCAAGAGAAATGGCATGGACTGATTGGACAATACTGACTGGCGTCATGTGCATCTAAAATAACAAATGGAACAAAATTCGGATCCGTTCATTATCTGTATCCAAATTAGCAAACAAATTTACCTCAAGCGAACAAATTTGAAAACTGAATTCATTTCCCCATGGGCCCAAACTACTATCGCATCATGTGATGTCAGGAATTAAACAAATGAAATGAATGAATGTTAATTTTGTTATAACTTTTTTTCAGATTCGTTGACACTCTTTAGTACAGTGGGGCAAAGAAGTATTTAGTCAGCCACCAATTGTGCAAGTTCTCCCACTTAAAAAGATGAGAGAGGCCTGTAATTGGCATCATAGGTAGACCTCAACTATGAGAGACAAAATGAGAAAAAAAATCCAGACAATCACATTGGCTGATTTGGAAAGAATTCATTTGCAAATTATGGTGGAAAATAAGTATTTGGTCAATATCAAAAGTTCATCTCAATACTTTGTTATATATCCTTTGTTGGCAATGACAGAGGTCAAACGTTTCCTGTAAGTCTTCACAAGGTTGGCACACACTGTTGCTGGTATGTTGGCCCATTCCTCCATGCAGATCTCCTCTAGAGCAGTGATGTTGGCTGACTAAATACTTTTTTGCCCCACTGTATGTCCATTAGGAGATTTGTATACTGCACATCCGAATCTCTGAAAATGAAATTTTTATCCGAAAAATCGAATCATAACAAAATAAAAAACACACATGTCTAATGAACAGGACTTGAACAGCTAGGCAGGGAACCAACGCTCTATGCAGCTCTTGGATCCTAATTTTAACATTGATAGACAATGTTAAACACATTTTTCTTTACTAACAACTATGGTATCTTGGAAAATAAGTCTGACTTAGCAAAAATAGGTGTCGGTTTTGCTACTATGTTCTAGAAATAATAGTCATACATTTTTTGAGATATTGTTGAAATAGTGTTTTTTCTTTTACTTGAGAGCTCATTTATTTTTCATGTACTGTGGTCTACTTCACACTTTCCCTTTTGTAAAGTTTCAAAACGTATAACGAGTTTTTCTACTCTCATACAGTAGTTATGAAACTCACTGAAATGTTATTTATCTGCCAGACTCAACTCTTACATAATGTAAACTGTACAAGTTCAATGCATTTTATCTCAAACTTGCAAAATAGATATAAAAAAAAAGCATAGCTGGGCTTATTTAAAGCTGAAGCCCTAATAGCTTTTTTAGCTGATGGAGGATTTTTGTATCCGTCCATCTACTCCTGAGATTTACAAACACTGTTTGATCCTGTCTTCTCTGATCCTCCCCTTCTCCCACTGTCCCCCTCTTATCTCCTAATAAGACATATCGTGTGGAGTCACTCTGCACATGTTCAGTTTGGTGTGTATTGCTAGAGAGGTTTTTTTTTTTTGTTCTTGAGAGAGTGCATATGATCAACACAGGGCCAACCAACACTGTCCAGACAAAGTCAGGGGTCCTACATCTTCCTAGAGCAGAAAGAAAACTTCTCCTACAAGCTTTAACATGTGCTCTGCTGGACACTGATAGAAGACACAAGACTGCTCTCACTGCTGATGAGAAAGGATATTTAGCAGTTTATATTTACTAAAATAATTATCCTTCCATGTTCTGTGTACTGAGGGAGACCAGATATAGTGAATGCAGGGTCCTGGGTTTAGTAACACTTTAAATAGGTTTAGATTGTTCACTGGACAGAGAAGGAGATGCAGCAGACTGATATGATCCACCCTCTGCTCTACTCAGTTGTTTCATGCTCCTTGTTAACATTAGTGTGTATAAACATCTGATTACAGGTTTCCTTTAACCACTGTAAGCTGCCTAAGGCTTGGTCCTGATTGGTTGTCATGCATTACCATCAATTACAGATTTGCTTTTCTCTTTCCATTAATCATTCCTGACTAAAACATGGAGGCTGGCATTGCTGACTTTTCTTTCTGCAAATTCTAGTTGCCTGACTTTCATGCTGAGCCTCTGGCTTCGAAGTTTTGAGTCAGTAACCCAGAACATTTATGCAGATTAGAAACTCCAATGTTCCTGATTTGCAAACTTGTAAAGTCAGCCTTCTGTCATATGGCAGCGGACAGTCTACTGTAATGTAGCATTTGGTTGCTCAGTCTCATACAGTATAACATGGTAGTGATCTCGTACAGTATCTTGTGACATAGCAGCAGTTACATTCTGTAAAGCAGAAGTGGTAATTCAGTATTTGTTAACATAGCAGCAGTCACTCCTAGTCACTCCATAGCAGTTGTCTTGTTTAGCTGGTAAGTAACTCATCACTTATGTAGTGATGACACCCTGAGAAAATACTGGAAATAATTGGGTTCTCCAACCTGTTCCAGTGCTGCCAACTCTGCATCTGGATCCCACAGCTCACTGACAAACCTATGACAATTATCAAGCTCCAGCCACTAGGGTCTTTATACCATTTATTGCAGTTCCCAAAGTGGAGAGATGGTTTAGGGGTGCTGGATTCCCAAAAAGCACAAAATGAGAAGACAGATGGACAGATATACTGAATCAGCAGTAGATCCTTTGAGAGCAACTTCTAAAATAGATGCTGATAGCCAGCGGACGGCCAGATAAATCTGTGACCATTTGAGAGCAGTCCCAGCGTTTCCTTGTTCCTGAATTTGACTTTCGTCTTTCTGTAAGCAGATAAAAAAACCTGAGTCCCTGGGCAAAGATCCCTCTTCCTAGGTCCATATGGTAGCTTCTACCCAGCTCCTCTGTGGCCCTCTTTTAATATGTTCTGTTCCCCAGGAGAAAAGACATGCGGTCCATTGTCCCCTCTTCCTAAGTGCTTTCTAAAGTTAGCTGTGATATCTGACATTTCCCCCACAGCCTTATGAACAAACAGCTAGCAAATAGATTACTGCTTTGACAGTCATGGGCCCTAGGATGGTCAGCTGGACCTCTGGAGCTTCTGTCTGGACCACATGTCAAAGATAGGTCTATGAGTGTGAGTATTCCAGGTTGGAAGAGGTTAGACATGTGCGGTTCCTTTTCATTCCAAATCCAAATGTGGATGAAATTTTCATTATTCGGCAGTTCAGATGTACTGTATTCGAATTTTTAAATTACAAGAGTGACAAATTTAAACAAATCTGAAATAATGAAATAAAATTTAATCCAAAATAAGGAATTCAAAACGAATTTGAAAAGGAAACTGAATTTGAAAACAAATTTGAAATGTAAACATATTGCTGACTATTGCTGATTTCCTTCAAAGACTGGGGTTTATTTACTAAAGCTGGTTCATTTAGAATCCCATTCACCTGTGCAAGGTAGCCAAGCAGCTTCTAACCTCAGCTTGTTTAATTAAGCTTTAACAATAAAACCTGTAAGCTGATTGGTTTCTATGCAGAAGTGCACGAGATTCTGAGTGAGCCGGCTTTAGTAAATAAACCCTTGTGTGTATTAGAATATAGCCATTGACCGAAAAATTTCGAAAAGAATAGAAAAGTATAAAAAAAGAACAGAATAGAAAATAAAATAGCATAGAAAATAAAGGAATAGAAACGAATAGAATAACATAGAAAAAATATAGCTGTCTTCCAACATTCAAATTTTGAATAGAATATATTAGAATAAAATAGAACATTACCATCTTCCGAAATTTGAATTTCGAACTGAATAGAATGAAATAGAAAAGACTAGAGTAAAATAGAATATAATAGAAAATAAAGGAGTAGAATAGGAAAAAAAAAATAGAATGGAACAGAAAAGAATAGAATAAAAGAATAGAATGAATATAGCCGTATTTCCAAAACTTTTATTCAGAATAGAATAGAACCAGCTTGTATTCACAATGAATTCGGATAGATTAAATGATTTTGATTCAAATTCGATTTGAATACTTCTAATCCATTGGAAAAATTTGAATCCAGTCAAAAACAAATAAAAAAAAATGAAACTAAACTAATTTTATTACAAATGCAACAAAACGAAATTAGCATTTTAACAAATCAAAAATGAAACAAAATGAATATTTTGCTTCTGCACATGTCTAGGAGGATTTACAGATGTGGTAACCAGGAAGATGGGAAGAAAAGGTCTAGGACAAATATCCATGCACATGACAATATGTGGTTTGGGCTGAACACCTGCTTGATACCCTACAACCCTTTATGTATAGGTGAAGCTTAGCTGCATGTGTTGGCCATGTGGAAATAAGCCGGGTTTCCCTTCCATTCCCCCCTCACCCTACATTCCTCATGAGAAGCTTGTCTCAGGCAAGTGCTTGGAGACAGAGAAGAGTTTCATGTGTTAAAGGAACCATCTCTATTCTAGCTGCATTATTGGATGGCTACACATGGAAGGGAGGTGCTTTGTTCATCCTCACAGCTAGCCATAGACAGCACATTGGAAGATGGGACAAGGTACCACATGAAATGTATCCCCTGGGGAACAGAACAAATGAATAAAAATCAAAGTGAGACTTCTTTAACTTTAAGAAAGTGAAAACCTTTGCCGAAATCTCTGTTGGTGTGTCAGGGTGGGTTCGTAGCATGAAAAAACAGGTACCTTCTGATGCCTCCATTGCAGTGAACCTATTACTTTGCCCCGAATGTAAAAACTCCAGGATTACCTTAGGTGATCCATCTCAATAGGAGGCACATGGGGTCAAGTAAAGGGATACGGCCAGCAGATCTGTGTAAAAGAGAATCAAGTTTCTATTTGCATAGGTCAGGTTAAAAATACGCACAGAAAACAGAGTCTGTGTTACGCTGCCAAGACTGGCTCATGTAGACATGATCTTAAAAGGAATATTTCTAGTGCTACGGTGTAAGTGTGGGGTAGGTAATATCTGAAGGTAATATCATGGATCTAAATTCCAGTTTGGTTTACATATTTCTTCATGTTATGCAGGATATAGGTAGATATAAAAAGCAGTTCTGCTAGTGCACTAAGCATGCTGGCCCACGTTTGTATTTTTTGTACTTTGCTAATCCTGATAGAGGTTTTACGGACACTTTTCAACCAGAGAAGTATCAAGGCCAAGAACAGGATATGTGAAGGCTGCAGTAAAGGCCAATTAAAGGTATGCAGGAATAGAAGGGCCAAGCTTTGTAAGGCATGGGTATCACAGAAGAATATATCAAATTTAAGCTAATGTGTAATCTGCTTTTCCTGTGTAGCACTACCCCTTTAGGAGTCGCTAGAAGATTTGGGTCCCCCTATAGTCCTGCACAGCCAGGAAACACACATCTTCACACAGGCTTGCATCCAGAGTCAGTCTTTGAGCTTTGATTTTGTTTGTTTTATTGAGGCAATTTGAACTGGGATAAGGTTAGAGGTGTACAGGATGCCCAAGGAAACTGATGGACTGAGGACAATTTCCTGGAACTATTTACAAGCCTTCTCTACAGAACAGTCTGTTGGAGAGCTAGCCAGCATCTCCTTAATGTACCTTCCCAGATCCTAGCTGAACCTCTCCTCTCCACACAGCAATCTGGAGGTATCCCTGAACAGGGGATCTTTTACCTGTTACTTTAAAAGCGGACAGTCCCAATTAGGCAGCAAATCTGGTTTCCTACCAGAGTGCTTCTTCCCCTATCCGCACAGGGGATGCAGGGGTACTCAATCAGATTCTTTCCTCTGGTGGTTGGTGGCTGCTTCCAGGACTTTTTTTAGCTGGGCCTTTCCTTCCCTGCCATACAGGTGGTCCTTGCTCTAGGGGCCAGTAAAACGCTGAGCTTCTTCCTTTCCAGCTCCAGGCCTGCAGGTGGGACTTGTCCCACTGGGCTTCTTTGCAACCTCCTGCCCTTCAGCCTCAAATCTTTCTCACTGTCTTCCACCTGAACTCTTCTGCAACTGAGCAGGCTCCAACACTTTTAAGGATGTCCTGGCCCCTTTCCAACCTCCTGTTGAGGACCTGTTGATCTTCTGGCTATTACACCCAGGCTGCTACTCAGCCTTTCTCACTGTCAACCAGGACTCTAGCTCCCTCTAGCTAAACTAGGAGGGTACTACACCTGGTTTCTCACTACTCCCCTTATCAATATACTAATGACATTTTTTGGTAAAAGTTTTCAGTGTTCATTACATACCTTATGTTAGACTTAGTGACATTATCACTACTGAGTGGGATTACTAAAGGCAAATAGACTGTGCAGTTTTGCAAGTGCATTTGAACCAGAGCTTAGTAAATTAGAGGTAGCTCAGCTGACTTCCATCATCCAATCATGTGCAATCAGAAATGCTGTTTTTAATCTTACTTGCAGATGATTGAGCATTCTTTGTAAAGTGAATCTTAATCTTATTTACTAAGCTCTGGAGAAACTGGACTTGCAAAGTCTATCTGCCTTTAGTAAATCCACCCCTATGTCTCTGTGCTTCTCAAGGCAATGCAGGCAGCTCATGACTCGTAAAAGAAACTGTATATACAGTAGCTTCCTGAAAACAGAAGAGTGACTTGGGTAACACCCACATGTGATGCATACACACTTCAATAAATAATCGATTTTCTTTCTGATCGATCTCTTCCGATTGGAATAATCAATCTATAGTCAAGAACCCATTTCATTGCTTATGATCATAAGGCATTGATCAAATCTCTGTTTCCACTATGTAATCTCATATTCCGATCATATTCATGAACAAAGTATCTCGGTTCTGCCAACTGGCAAAAAATAATTGATAATTTTCCATCCTGGAAAATTGACTCAGTCTGATTGAATCCGACTGAAAATGAATCAAAATCGATCGGAAGGGAAGTTATGGCTATTCCATTTTCTTGTGGA